CACTCCTTTGATGGGGTCTGTCCCTCTGCCTTTGCCCTGCAACCCGAACACGGGAAGAAGCAAGTGGCCCGGAGGTCACAGGCTTCTTCTGGACCCTGCTCCATACACTCTCATCCATCTTGCTCCCTTCTGGCCTCAGTCCACTTAGGGTTTGGGTCTGGGGTCACCTGGTCTTCTCTCTTGGATTCCCCTATGTCCGTGCCAGACACTGGCCGGCCCCCACCTACTCTCTCCCTAGCTGCGTAGGCCTCATCCTTGGACTTTGTCTCTCTGAGGTTTGGTGGGCCTGGGACAACTTCACTGCCTGGTTCTCCTCTTTAAATCAGCTTTGCCCTGTCACCGTGCTCATTCCATATTCACTTCCACTCATGTTAGCTTCTGGCTCCCGTTCCAAGTCACTTTGCTCCGATGGTCCTTCCTCCCAGCACTGTCGACCAGAGCTACCTCTCCCACACCTCAGACAACTCACCTGGCTCCTCTGCTCACCTGTCTTGCCCTTTCACCCACAGAGATCTGCTTCAGAGATTTAAAAAAATGTAGTTACTTCATGCTTTTCTGTACTTCATAAGGAAATAGGTCTTTGTAATCTTTCAAATGCAATATAAGCCCAAACAATGTTCTTTACAATCTATTTGTTCAGCTGGCGTTATCCACTTGCTTACTTACTAACTTTAATGTTAGCTTCCCTATAGACTTGAAAACTTATATCTTGAAATATGTTTTGTTTGGGGCTGCCTTTCATTCAATTTTACCACAAATTGGTAAGCCACGTAGGTAGTCTGCCAAGCCACCTAGTTTGGTGCACACATTGGGAAGGCAGCATTGAGTCACCCATAAAAAGATAGAATTGAAACTAAAAAACGTAACTCTGTTATTCTGAGTTGGTGTTCTCAATCCCATGTCTCTGAGGGGATTTCTTTGTATGGTTACATAACATGAGAATTCATTCTGATGTTTGGATAAAATAGCAGCTGCAAAACTGTCAACAACTTTGGGCTAAGTTAGTTCTTTCTTGCAAATACTGGCGTCTCAATATTAGAACATGTTTATGCCTTACGGTCACTTAAAACTCTTGTTTATGAAATGAAGTTTCTATTCCTTTTTATTCTAGAACAGAGATCTGCAAACTGTGATCTATTTAGACTATGAAGCCTAAAGTATTTACTACCTAGCCCTTTAGAGAAAATGTTTTCCAACCCCTGTTCTAGAACATAAAAAGTGTTTTATAATATAAACTAAGGGTTCTCAACATGACATTAAAATGCATAGTCTTCAGGAAGTCCTTGAATCCTCTGGCACTGGGTGTAAAATTTGGTTTGTGATGCAAATGTGCATTTTTGGAGGGCAAGAAATCAAAGTCATCATCATATTCTCAAAGGGGTCCAAGACCTCACAATGTTTAAGAACTACTACAGAATGTTGTCTGATTCCAGGCAGTGTGACTGAGTGCAGTAGCCCACTGCAGCATCCTGAGGTGTGAGCAGTGAGGCCGATGTGCTTAGTGCCCTGTAGGTCACTTTAGAATACACTTCACACTCCAAGATGTGGAAAAGCTTACATAAAATTCAACATGAATATGGTCTTGGGATGACTGTTTATTTTCCTCCTTGGGTTGCAAGACCTGATTCTCGCTCTCTTGTCTCCTCTGAAGTGCATCCTCAGAATCTTTGCCCTGGGTACCACAAGCCTTCATCTGTGCCTCCTGGGTTGATCTCAGCTTCTAGAATCACAGCCCTGCAATTGCAGGCCAGGAAACCTGGGGCTGGACTTAGAGCCTTGCACTAACTGCCTCTCATCTTGTCCCTGTGACATCCCTGTCTCTCTTTGTAGATGCTAGTAGGTTCGCTTTATCATCATGACGTATGTTTGATATCGGACACCGTGGATGTAAATGATGACATATAATTGAAGAAGGCAGGGACAGAGCAGAGTACCTCCCATGGCACCTGAGACAGCCTGTCCCAAACCTTCGAGGTAGGAGGGATGCTGTTTGCCTTCGGGGGTTTCTTCTGAACTGTAACACCCTCATCTCTCTGATTAGTTCCTATTTTCTTTCAATAATTCTTAACTTTATCTATTAAGATCACTTTGAACTTTTATTTCATTTTCCAAAGTGCAGCCTCCCACCTATGTCTGTCATCCACAAATACAAGGTCATTAGCGCCAAGGCCATTTAAGTGCCTATTCTGTTTGCATTACCCAGTCCAATCGCCTACAAAAGAAACTATCATAAACTATGTAGGCAGAAAGAATAAACAGGATTTAAGGGATTCCTGGTTTTATTCATCACTGTGCCTGTAATAGATGTGGAAAGAAAGAACTAGAAGCTTTTCCTCCCTGGGAAGTGGCACTGTCAAGCCCAGTCCTCTTTTTTTATAACAAATATTTGAAATGACCTCTCTACTATTTGGAAATGAAATTCACAGATATAACACAATCCACCTACACACATGATTTTAAAGAAACCAATATAATGCCCAAACTGGAATATAAAAAAGAGCTACAAGGCAAAGTAATTTATAATGAATTGCTATGTGCTTCAATACATGAACGCTTATTCAACACGTGAATACTACACTAGCCACAAAGTGAGTCAGTCAGACGTTCACACCTCCTTAGAAAGAATCAGTTTGGATTTAAGAGAAGTGAGAGAATCTTCAACTGACACTTGTTAAGCTTCTTTAGCACACTTGACGTTTTGAAATGAGGGCCAAATCAATTTGTTCACACATAAACACAGTTGCCACTAGAGCAGCGTGGGTGTGTGTGTGCGTGACAGTGCCCACGGCCCTCCACAGGGGCGTTCGCCGTCACGAAGGGATTTTCTGAAATAATGAATAACATTTTATAAAGTCCCAAACTGAACAAGGCACAACCTTGCCTGGATTGACAAGGTGGTGGCATTCCTGGAAAAATCAGTGTGTATTAAAACAGTGCAAAAAACAGGTTTGTTGGCATGTAACACAGAGGTAGGTTGCGTGGTAATTTTGAGTTCACCTCTGGGACGTCTGGTAGCATGTCCTGCAGCTGCGGCTGCTGGCGATTCCGTGCGGTACAGGACCGCCATGTGCATTAGCATCCCTGTTACTAGGGGCGGCCACCCCCATCATTGTGACAACCGAAAAGCATCCCAGCAAATTTACAGAATGCTCCCTGGGGAGTAACTGTCTCCGTCAAGAGCCACTGCTTTAATGTGGAAGTGTTATAGATAAAATGCAGTGAGGCAAATGTCCCCAAACAGGTCCAATGCCTTTTTCTTTCCATTGATGGCAGTTGTGGTTCAATCAACATCCTCCCTCCCTCCCTTCCTTCCTTCCTTCTTGTGAGCACCATGCATCTTTCTACATGCTTGCTGAAGTTGTAGAGAATACAGTGTGGTATGGATGATAGACAATAAATAAGCAAATAGATAAGATCATTAAGGACTTGTGATAATTGCTTTGGTGGAAATGAGCCCGTTTTTTGAGAGAGTTACAGGGCAGGGCAGCTAATTCAAGTAGTGGTTGTGGGGGAAGGCTCTCTGAGGGAACATCTGAGGAAACATCACGAGGTCCAGCCATGTGAGAAGCAGAGAGAAGGTTCACGTGGAGGAAGCAGCATGTGCCAAGGCCCTGAGGCTGGACAGAGTTTGGAATGGCAGATGCAAGCCCCTAGGACCTGGGGTGTGCTGGCTACCCCTTGCTAGCAACCAAAATATGTGTTTAGAAGAACACGTCGGCCGCTGTTTGGGGAACGAGAGCGAGACCAGACATGCGAGACTAGGGGTCTCGGGGTAGCCCAGAAAAGAGGTGGGGCTGGCGCGGAGCGGCGGGCCGGCCGGGCTGCAGCCAGCAGGACGCGCCCACCTTGGGGTGCGGGGTGACGCAGCGTGGTCACCTGGCCTCTGGGTGGAAGTGCTGGGCCACTTCCTGCGACGGCAGGGACATCCAGAGCGATGATAGATATTCTCGCCACGTTGTTCCTGACTGACGACTCCTAAGTGTCGACCCTTTGAGCCGACCGGCCAACGATGCCGCCGTCACTCGGGGCGCAGCCCTCGGGGAGCCGCTGGGACTCGCGCCCCTTACGGGCCATGGCCTTCTTCCCATTTCTTTCTTGTCTTTCCGCTGTCATTCTCCTGGCTCTGAGCCACGTGGCTCTCTCCTTACCTTCCCGCAGCGGCTTTTTCATTTGGAGCAAACTGCAGGCTGCTCGGGGCTTTGCCTGGCGTCGCCGCGCCCGCAGCATGGGCTGCTCGCATGGGACCGCATGTGCTGGCACCCAGCGCGGCACTCGGAACAGAAGCCAGACATGTTTGCTCTGCACCTTTCGCTGCTGCCCCTGCGAAGCGAGCACTCAGCCCAGATAGACAGTCGCCCCCAATGGGCTTAACCACCTGGACCGGTTTGGGTTATTTTTGTGCACCACGCAATCTCACAAATGCCAGGCAAGCAGGAGGTGCTTAGTGCATAAGCAAGCCTGACTCTTTGTGGGGATGACACAAAGTCCCCGTCCTGCTTGGTGAGCTGTAGAGTAAGGTGGAGGGTGCGGGCGGAGCAGTCCCCAGGCGGCCTGGGGCAAGCTGGGGGTTGTTCCCCACGTACCACGGAGGCTTCGTGGGCTAGCAGTAGGGGCCAGGCTGAAGTGAAGCACAGATGTGTCTCTGCCTGCCGTTCTCCTCAGTTCCCCTCAACAAATCTTAAATGACTGAATGAACCAACGGATGAATGAACAAACAGAGTTATTATAAAGATTAAGTGAAATATTTCTAAAGACCTGGAATAGTGCATGGTGTGCAGAAAGTTCAATATAAATGCTCGCTAGAAAGAGAGCAAGAACAGCTTTGTCTGCATTTGCCAATGCCCTGTTCACCAGTCAGGGCACCAGTGCCCCATTCACCAATGCCCTTGCCGGGCTCGAAGGGCACGGCACGTCATAGAGGAAACCCTGGGTCCTAAGGTGCCAGGTGCAAGGCCTTGAGCTTCAATGCCCATGTTCTCATTCTCCCTTCTTCTCCATAGGACCATGGGAGACCACCTTGATCTTCTCTTAGCAGTGGTGCTCATGGCCAGGCCTGTGTGTGGGGTCTCTCCCTGCTCCTGTGATGGTCGGATGGCTGTGTATCTTTCCTGCAACCTCACCCAGGTCCCCCCGGTCCTCAACACCACCGAGAGGCTCCTGCTAAGCTTCAACTATATCAGGACAGTCACTGCCTCGTCATTCCCCTTCCTGGAGCAGCTGCAGCTGTTAGAACTGGGGACCCAGTATAACCCCCTTTCTGTTGGCAAAGAGGCCTTCAGAAACCTGCCCAATCTCAGGATCCTGGACCTGGGCGGAAGTAAGATCAACTTCTTGCATCCAGATGCTTTCCAGGGGCTGTCCCATCTGTTCGAACTGAGACTGTTTTCCTGTGGTCTCTCTGATGTTGTGCTGAAAGATGGTTATTTCAGAAATTTAAAGTCTTTAACTCGCTTGGACTTATCCATAAATCAGATTGAAAGCCTTTACTTTCATCCTTCATTTCAGGAATTGAATTCCTTAAAGTCCATAGATTTTTCCCTCAACCAAATACACACTCTATGTGATAGTGAACTCAAGCCCCTCCACGGGAAAACACTCTCCTTCAAACTTGCAGCTAATGGACTGTACCGCACCGTTGCAGTGGACTGGGGGAAATGCACCAACCCATTTAGAGACATGGTGCTGGAGACCCTGGATGTTTCAGAGAATGGCTGGACAGTGGACACTACAGGAAACTTCAGCAAAGCCATCAGTGGAAGCCATATTTTCTCTTTGATTCTTTCCTACCACATCATGGGTTCTGGGTTTGGCTTCAACAACATCAAAGATCCTGACCGGAACACATTTGCAGGCCTGGCCAGAAGCTCGGTGACACGGCTGGATCTTTCACATGGGTTTATCTTCTCCCTGAACTCCCGACTCTTTGAGACACTCAAGGACTTGAAGCTTCTGAACCTTGCCCACAACAAGATAAACAAGATTGCAGATGAAGCATTTTACGGACTTGATAACCTCCAACTTCTCAATATGTCCTATAACCTTCTGGGAGAACTTTATAATTCAGATTTCTATGGACTAACTAATGTAGCTTATGTTGATCTGCAAAAGAATCACATTGGAATAATTCAAGACCAAACATTCATACTCCTGAAAAAATTAAATACCTTGGATCTCCGAGACAATGCTCTTAAAACCCTTTCTCTTGTTCCAAGAATATCTACTATTTTCTTGGGTGGAAATAAGCTGACGACTTTGCCAAGGACCAGCCTTACAGCTAACTTCATCCAGTTATCAGAGAACAGGCTAGAAAATATGGATGAACTCTACTTTCTTCTTCAGATACCTCACCTCCAGATTCTCGTCTTAAATCAAAATCGCTTATCTTTTTGTACGCAAAGTCCTACCCCTTCAAAGAATCTCAGCTTAGAACAACTTTTCCTTGGAGAAAATATGTTGCAACTTGCCTGGGAAGCTGGGCTTTGTTGGGATGTTTTTAAAGGTCTTTTCCATCTTCAAATTCTATATTTGAATAATAACTACCTTAATTTCCTTCCACCAGGAGTGTTCAGTGATTTGACTGCAGTAAGGGCACTCAGCCTCGGCTCCAACAGGCTGACAGTTCTTTATTCTGACCATCTGCCTGCTAATTTAGAAATCTTAGATGTATCCAGAAACCAACTCCTCGTTCCCAATCCTGATTTATTTGTGTCGCTTAGTGCCTTGGACATAACTCGTAACAAGTTTATTTGCCAGTGTGAACTTAGCCCTTTTATCAAGTGGCTTAATCAAACCAATGTCACTATATTTGGGTCTCCTGAGGACATATCCTGCACATACCCTGCCTCGCTCTCTGGGGTCTCCCTCCGCTCTATTTCCACAGAAGGTTGTGATGAAGAGAAAGTCTTAAAGTCCCTACAATTTTCCCTTTTCATCTTCTTCACTGTCACTTTGACTCTCTTCCTCATGGCTGTCCTCATAGTCACAAAGTTCCGGGGCTTTTGTTTCATCTGTTACAAGACAGCCCGGAGGCTGGTGTTGAAGGACCGTCTGCAGGAGGCACGACCTGGTCGGTACAAATACGACGCCTATTTGTGCTTCAGCAGCAAAGACTTCGAATGGGTGCAGAATGCTTTGCTCAGACACCTGGACGCTCAGTATAGTGACCAAAATAGATTTAACCTCTGCTTTGAAGAAAGAGACTTTGTCCCGGGAGAAAACCACATCGCCAACATCCAGGATGCCGTCTGGAGCAGCAGGAAGGTTGTCTGTCTTGTGAGCAGACACTTCCTTAGAGATGGCTGGTGCCTCGAAGCCTTCAGCTACGCCCAGGGCAGGTGCGTGTGCCACCTCAACAGTGCCCTCATCATGGTGGTGGTCGGGTCCCTGTCTCAGTACCAGTTGATGAGACATCAATCCATCAGAGGATTTGTACAGAAACAGCAGTATTTGAGGTGGCCTGAGGATCTCCAGGATGTTGGCTGGTTTCTTAATAAACTCTCTCGACAGATACTAAAGAAAGAAAGAGAAAAGAAGAAAGACAATAGCATTCAACTGCAAACAGTAGCAACCATCTCCTGATAAAAAGAGCAGTTTCCAACTTCTCTCAAGCTACAAATAACTCTTCACTTTGTATGTCCACCAAGTTACCATTTTGGGGTCCTTTTGGAGGTTCTTTTGCTTCTATGAAAACAACATAAATCTCTTGATTTTCATATCAACACAATGTTTTGTCTCACTGAGCTCCAAATGGAAAATAATAGATCTAGAAAATTGCAACTGGCCCTAGAGATTCCTACTCTTCATTAATTTCCTTGCAGGCCCAATGATACTGTTCTGCAGTGTTGACTTGACGTTGGAACGCACCCTAACCACGGGAAGGGCACCTTGGGAGAAGTTATAGAGGGCCGGCCGGCAGGCTCTGTCTAGCATTTGGTTCAAGAACAGGTCAATGATTTGAATCCTCTGTGTTCTGGGAAACAACACGGAGTAGAAAACCAGCAGAAGAGGCAGGTTTCCTTCTCTGGCCGTGGGAACAATGTCATTGTTGAGTGCAGGCGACACTTCATCTTAGGGATGGGAGGTGGCCCCAGAGAAGCTGGGATGAGGACAGCTGTGTCCCGAGTGGCCTCATGTTCCACCTGCAGGCCCTCCAGTCTCACCCCGTGAGCTGTGAGCTTGCTTTCACACGCTGCCCGCATTTCAGCCTGGCCTTCAAGACCTCCCGTGATTTAGCACCAACCTACCTTTTCAGCTTTATTTCGGACCACACCTGATTTGCCAGCCTCGGAGCCTTGGTGCGAAGAGCATGGCTTGCACACCGGCCCTGGGCTGAGTTCTGGCTCGGCTGCTGCTAACCTGCTGCATGACCTCGCCTCCTCACGCCCTGGCGGGGCCTCGTGATGGCCTCTGCCTGTGGAGCTGCTGTGGAAATCGAATCGGCCAAGGGTGCTGGGGCTTCTCAGATCTTTCCCGCAGTCGCCCTAGCCGCCATGACAGAGGACGCATACTGAGGGGCCTTCCGGCGCTGTCGCAATTTCTTTGAAATCGTATTTTTTTATCTTAAAAGAAATTTATGGGTATTTTGCATTCTATTCCTTTTTTCATGTTTATTAATATAGAAATGTTTTTTTGCAAAAGCACTGGGAAATTTAAACCAAGGAAGGTGTGCCAAAATTACCATGCAACTTCACGTAATGGCTTCCTCCAAATCCGATGTGCGCTCAGGCCAGCTCCCTCAGTGCCAGGAGCACAGGCAGGCCTGGGACCCACACCGCAAAAATGTCACTCCCTCCCCCTTGCTGGGCCCCAGCCCCCAGTCCTCTAACACACACGCACACACACACACTGGCTATTCTCGTCCCAGCTTCCTTGGGCCTGCTCTGATCTGTGAGGCTGAGCTTGCCCACACCCACCGATGGTATTTTTCTCACACACACCATGTGCATGCCACTGCCCCTCTTCTCTCTGGACATTCTCCCATCTCTGCACATCCACCCTACATGTTCTTTAAAATCCATCCCATGAATTCCCCTGAAATCCCTCCAACCCAAAGCCTTTTCCCTTTTGCGAAAACTCTTGGCATTTTGTCTGTTCTTTCAAAATGAGCACTTACTACTTTCTGCCTCATCTGAGAGTTACGGGCCTGCCCGGCCGGCCACTCCTCTGGACTGTGGGCTCCGTGAGGAAAGGCCCGTCCTCCATGTCCTGCCCTTGCTGGCTCCAGGACTACGTCTGCCTGGGCATTTCCTAGGCTGGCACGTCTGCCCATTCTTTGTGACCCCACAGGTTCTGCCATGACGCATGGCCTGGTGTGGAGCCAGTGTGCTTCTGTATGTGTGAGGATGGCCTAGGCTGAGAGGCCCTGCTGGCAGGACCTTGTCTTGTCCATCGAAGTATCCCAGGCCCAGTATGGTGCCTGGCCTGTAGTGTGTGTGCAACAAATGCCTAGTGGCCGAATGAAGTGTACTGGGAGCCCAGCCTCCTAGGTCGATGCCTGCCACTGTCAGACCCCCGGGAGGGGCCCGCAGGGCGGGGGCGTGAGAGCCGGATGTCCACTGAGGTGCTGAGTGGCACGCTGCAGGGCGCAGGAGACCACAGGCCCTAAGGCACCCCTTGCACTCCATTTCCAACAGCCGGGCGTGGCACGGGGCTCCTGGGTCACGAGATAGTGGCAGCCAGGAGCTGGGCTAGAATGGGAGGGCTGGAGAGGTGGGGAAGAAAACAGAATCCACATGAATTTGCAGGGAGTAAGGTCCTCCTGAGCCTGTGCTAAGAACGACAGTAAAACAAGAAGCCCTGCTGCCAGCAGCAGTGCACGGAACAGGGCGGCTGTGGGAGGGCTGCTCTGCCTCCAATCCCCCTGCCGCCGCCATGCCTGCCCAGCCAGGAGCAGGCCGAGGGCAGCCAGCACACGCAGGGGCCTCTTCAGAATCCCTGGTAGGAGAGGACTTCCCTAGTCTGGCTGGAGGGCTGGGGTGGTGCGGCACCAGGGACCCCCTCGGTGTGCATGGCCATCACCATCAGCCTGCTTTGCAAACCAGTCCTGGGACGTGTAAATGGCAAGTGCAGGTGCGTTTATAGGAAGACAAGCTGGAGCACAGAGAGCGCTCCACATATGAAAGGCATCTACCCCACAGCCTTTCTAATCCTCTCATTTAAAAACACAAATGGCAAGATTTTCCTAATGCAACACATTTAAAAAGCACCTTTTGCAATTTCTGTATAGAGTTTATGGGGGACCTGTTCACGTCTACATCTTAGCCACTCTATTCCAAAAAATTCCCTTTTCTGGCAAAGATGCAAAACTTACTAAAATTCTTTTCATTTATCTTCTCATCCATAGCCAGGCCCGGTGGTTGGAATCCTTTCTGAGGCCATTTTCCCAAATCTTACTCACGTCACAGGAGCTGCTGCACATAAGATGAAAGGAAGGACCAACAGAGCCGCACTGGGAAGTGGGCCTGGGCAGTCCACTGAGGCACTGGTCACTAAGTGGCCTGGGCAGTCCACTGAGGCACTGGTCGCTAAGTGGCCTGGGCAGTCCACTGAGGCACTGGTCGCTAAGTGGCTGCACCACACTCCACAGCGCTCAAGGCTGGGCTCAGTGGATTGACAGATTTCACATGGCACAGTCTTTTGGGGACACTCCAAAATAGGAGGAACTACTAGTGCTCAATCTAAGAATGACTAGAGCTTTCTGTATTTGAAATGGAGACTATCTGGGAAAATCTAGAATATTGACTGGACCTGCTGAAAGCTTCAGAGAGAATTCCACTCATCACCCCAAATACAACTGACTTGGAAAATTCCTTTCAACCATGTGCTTCTGCAGTGAATAATCTTTTAGATAGTATTAATATGATGTAAAACAAATGTGGTTTAAATTTTAAATCTCAAAATAACTATGTAGTGGGACAAGAGACTGTGGAATAAAAGTGTACGATCGTTAAATGCTCTTCTACCACAATAGAAAATCAATATTTTCTTGGGGGGAGTCACCTTTTAAAGAAAAATAAAAAAAGAGAAACATTTTTAAAAAATCAGTATAAAATGTCTAAAATATCAGATCAAGAAATTGCATTCTGAGTATATATTGATAAGTACGGAGACGCCGGAAGAAAGAACTAGACAAATTAATGGCGGTTGCCCGAGGGAGCTCTGCCCAGTTCTTCCATTGGGAACATCTAGAAAAGTGGGAGGAACTATTTTTTAGAATATGTTTAAAGGCTCCAGAGAGATACAGGGCAGTACATAGGGCCAGAATTCGAGAGAAGAAGGAAATCAAGAGAGATGACTACATTGCAACTAAGACCTTCCAGTCATCAAAAAAGACCACCAGTGAGTGAAATGGCAAACCGCGGTGTCGGGTCTGTCTCAGTGTTCCCTGGTCCCCAGTGCCCAGTGGCAAGAGTGAGTCCCAGTACCAGACTGATGCATGATCACAAATACAGAGCCATCCCACACAAACAGTTTATTACAGAAAAGAAAGAAACTATGCAAAGTGAAAATAAAGAAGGAAGCTACCCAAAGTGAAAACACGTTGCAGAGAGAGGAACGGGCCAGTCTCCACGAGTAAGAAAGATGTTGAAAACTCCCGGGTGGTTTCCTCTCATTGGCCAGGTCCGAGGGAGGGTGCACAGAAGGTGCGGGATGTTACCCAGTGATCACCAGGTGTTCTGCGTTTTCCTGCAGTCCCTGCCCCTGATTGGTCCCTGGCTTCTCCACCCCTGGGAACCTCCTCCTGGCCTGCACCACCGCCTGCGGATTTGCTCCCTGCCTGACAGCAGCGTGAAAGGAGATGCTTGTAATGCATGCATCTGAAAAAGACTCATAGCCAAAATATGAAAGAACGTCTATATATCAGTAACAAAAAGACAATAGAAAGGAAAAATGGGCACAAGACTTATGAATTTCACAAAAGGATATCCAATGTATAACGAGGAAATGAAGATATTCAGCCTCCATCAGTCATCAGAAAAACGCAAATCGAAACCACACTGCAGCACCACTGCACCCCCCCAGGACGGCCAAACTCGAGGTGACTGACGGTGCGGGTATTGGCAAGGTGTGGGCCACTGAAACTCTCCTGTGTTTTGCGGAGCACGTAACTGGTCTGATTTAAACCACTTCTGTCCGGCGCTCGCCGGCGCAGCCTCGCCACAGCCGCGGCCGGCTGCGCGGCGTCTGTCTGCGCGTGGCCCCGAGTCCGTCCTGCGCTGGTGTGCTGGGAAAGCCTGGAAGCACCCGAGGCTTGTTTCACTTTACAGGCAGCTTTGCCTGTCGTGCCAGTCAGAATAGGTAACATGCACATATATGTTTCATTACGTTATTTTTAAATGTTCACAATTTTATTTTGATAACTGAAAAAGTAGAAAACTCATATCACAGCTGTCGGCTAAAGTCGCTGTGCAAGTTCCCCTGTGGCTGTCCACTACAGTCGACGCCGGGCCGTGCGCGTTCATCTGTGGCTGTCCACTACAGTCGGACGGCCAGGGCCGGATGCGGTGTTTCATCTGTGGCTGTCCACTACAGTCGACGCCGGCGTGCGGTCATCTGTGCTGGTCCACTCATGTAGTCGGCCTGCGCCGTGCGCGTTCATCTGTGGGCTGTTCCACTACAGCCGACGCGCGGGCCGGTGCGCGTTCATCTGTGGCTGGTCCACTATAGCCGACGCGTGGGGCCGTGCGGCGCTCATCTGTGGCTGTCCACTACAGTTCGC